TTCCAAATATTGTACAAGTTGATTTTTAACCACTGTTTCAAGTATCTTTCATCACAGGGCAATGTGTTTATAGGTCTAATCTCATCAGCTTTAATAGTCACCCCTATTCCAAATAAATGGCGAAAAATGAATTCGCCCGGAATTCATTTTCCAACTGGAACGGAATATCGTATCATGAACTCCGGGCGAAAATTGTTTCACTTCGAAACATATGTTACAATTCGAACATCAACAGCTGTTCTTACAAAAGCTGATATTTGCCAACAGTACGCATAATTATACTATAAATAAGTTTTGAGAGTTTTTATTAATATTGGAGTTATATTAAACAAAAATGTTTCGCATAGCTTTACGCTCACTAATTGAAGAAAATAGAGAAGTGGAAAATGGTCTTATTAATCTAAAGATATTGTTTATAGGTTTGTGCAGCACTATAGGGTAAATAAATCCGTATTTATTTATCTGTTAGATGAGCTAAAGTTGGCATTGCCAAAAGGCAGAAAAGCGGCGTGCTCGAGGTTTTCTGCTGAAGGAGGGTACCAAAAAGGAATTGCTCGGGATAGAGAAATTTCATTGGGACAGTCTTCTTTCAGCAAGGTGTTGGCAGAGGTATTGGACGCACTTCAACGTAAATTGTGTCCAAAATGGACAAAATGGCCTACACGTGAGGAGAGAAGAGAAATTTCTCAACATTTTTATACGAAGTACAGGATACCCGGGGTCATTGGATGTGTTGACGGGACACATGTTGGCATTATTGCTCCAGAACAAAATAAGCATTTATATTATAACCGAAAAGGATTTTACAGTTTAAACGTCATGATCGTAAGTTTTGATTTTGTTTTACTTACATATATGCATTTTAATCTTATTAATTTAAACTTTTATTTTAAGGTATGCGACGATGAACAAAGAATTCGATGCATAGATGCCAAGCATCCCGGATAATGTCACGACTCGAGAATTTGGGCAACAAGCCAATGCAGAGAAGTGTTGCAAAGAGAAATTCCTGGCAGTCATTCGAATATGTGGCTTTTAGGGGATGCTGGGTATCCACTAGAGCCTTGCCTGATGACACCCTTCAGGAGCCCTCAACTGGGCTCTACTCAGCAAAATTTTAGCGATGTGCACGCAAGATGTCGAAATATAGTGGAGAGGACTATCGGCGTACTTAAAAATCGTTGGAGGTGTTTTTGATAGCAGCTAGACAACTATTGCCCAAAGAAAGCAGTTAAAATAACGAATGTTTGCATCGCATACAAAAGCATTTACGAGGTAACTTCCGTCGATGAACATACAACCAATGAGCAGCAAGCTGAAGAAGAACCTGCAGAAAATTTTGTAATTTTGGATACTGCCCAACGCATCCGCTCAAATATTTGTAACAATTTATAAATTTAATTATTTACCATATCTCAGACCTCCTGCCTCAATGCTTGCCGAAGTCAAATTTGGTTATGACCGGTCAAGCAGTTAACACGTCGTTGGTACACTCACAGCAACGTTTTGATCAATTTGGCTTTTTTTCTTTTGTTTATTTTATGTTTATTATTTTTTCATAAAAATATAGCTCATTATATAACAATCACCATATAAATACACATTTTCGATACACTCACAGCAACGTTTGGATCAATTTTGGCTTTTTTTCTTTTGTTTATTTCATGCTTAAAAGGAAAGAAAGTTGCATCAATTTTTATTTTTTACAATTTCAATTTTTTATTTTTTATAATTTTTTGTATTTCACATGGCACGCTTTGATTTGGAAGAAAAAATTCAGTACAGTTTTTGACACTTTCGATACCAGAAGCAACAACAAAATACACGCAAATGTTGTTTTTGCTCTACTGATACTACCTGTTTAATGTGCCTTGATTTTATGCTTATTATTTTTTCATAAAAAAATAGCTCATTATATAACAACCACCATATAAATACACATTTTGAGCATTGTGCAAAAATTATAAAAAATCTGCAAAGTTGCATCTAAACTTTCAACTTTTTGAGATTTTTCAGAAAAAAAGTATTAAAAACCATGCCATTTTTTAGCAACTTAAAACTTGCACTTTATTAAACAATAATTTAATGGGCTATTAAACTGCATCCTCCCAAAAAGTTAAAAGTTTAGATGCAACTTTGCAGATTTTTATAATTTTTGCACAACGCTCGAAATGTGTATTTATATGGTGGTTGTTATATAATGAGCTATATTTTTATGAAAAAATAATAAGCATAAAATCAAGGCACATTAAACAGGTAGTATCAGTAGAGCAAAAACAACATTTGCGTGTATTTTGTTGTTGCTTCTGGTATCGAAAGTGTCAAAAACTGTACTGAATTTTTTCTTCCAAATCAAAGCGTGCCATGTGAAATACAAAAAATTATAAAAAATAAAAAATTGAAATTGTAAAAAATAAAAATTGATGCAACT